CTTCTTCAGCCATAACTTGCCATCTTTCCATTTCGATTGAGCAAACAGTCCGTTCACACAGTTTATGGTATCCGTTTTACATTAGCGGTTTGACCTTGTTTTCGCGACCTAGTCGTTCTATCAGTGTGACCAGGATTACACACCTTGTCCGGATTCCTTTGTCCTAGTATCCATGATACTTTTCAACGTCGGATCGTGGATTTAGTACGTTTGCATTTGTTTTACTCTCTTATCGAGCATTTTATTTCTGACCGCTCAGATAGATCGGACTATCGCACACCTACGTGACTTGTGTATAAGGACCTTGAAGATAGAATGTTCCTTATGCATATTTGATGGCACAACACCAAGAAAGCCCGCATATAATTATTAATGAAATTGGCATATCCCATGCATGTACTAAGAAAGAAATCGGAATTCAGTATGCGTATTCATGTATACACACCACTTATTTGTTGAGCTTACTTCCATTTCGAGTAAAAGTGGTGGGTGAAGAGATTCGAAGTTGGTTCCACCAGAAGACGGCGGCGGATTCCTATTGAACAGCTGTCAATTGGCTTTACTGGAACATTCATGCTGACGCTGTTTCCGAGGTAATCTCCTTCGTGAAAACGTGATAAGCTTTCGTCCGTCATATGACGAACATCATCAGAGCAAGGTATCATCATCACAACCAAATTCAAGTCAACGATTCAAGAAAACTCACCGGCAAATCCTTAAAAAGCGGTATATATACTCTACATCTGGCCTCTGATCCAGTCATATGTCAACTTCGATGCATATGAGTGTGTCTGTATGTGTATGTGTCTGTTTGTGTTCGCCTATGCATGAAACCCGCAGTGATGGCTCAAAGTAATTAGGACAGCAAAAAGGAACGTCTGTTTTTGGTCATCAAGGTTTGATGACCCCTATCTGGTCAAGCTGAGTCCGCCATCGTCTTTTGGTGGAACCGGCCTTCGAATCTCTTCACCCAACACTCACTCGAAATGGAAGTAAACTCAACAATTATGAAGCAAGAGATTCCTCTAAACCCAACATTTATTCAACCCATTTATGCCTACATCGTCCAAACTCATTTAGGTAGCTCTAACAACACGCTGGTTCGTTGCTAGTTAAATCCTAGGTATGGAGACCAAGATTGTGGGTCATCGTATTTGGGTGTGGTCTCTTTTCGCCCTGTACAATCTCTATGACCTCGTTTTAGCGATCTGGAAGAATGTACTGTAGTGGTCTTGCTAATTTCCAGCGTCGAACCACCAACTTGTAGCCTTCCTAGACATCCTACCGGAGCCGCCAATTAACTTTTGACAATACATACATAAGATGTATTCACCCTATTTCGTCTAAGGTGATAAGGGACTGGTAGTAGAATTTTCCCACAATGATATGAGTTGAGCTCACGTTTCCATTGAATTTCACATAGCCTGCTTTTCCCAAAAGTTGATCTCATCCAGGGTGGACTGGTAGTCTGGAAACCCTACTCTCATACTAATACATACATAGACCAATTTTCTGTTGGACCGTTTTGGGATGGACATAACTTGTTTGTTTTTGTGATTAGGGTTTCGAGACTACCATTAAATCAGTGTAATGAGATGTATTCACCCTATTTTGTGTAAGATGATGAAGGACTGGTAGTAGAATTTTCC